ATATTATTCATTAAAAAAATCATAAAATAAAAAATATTATTACATTATAATATGAATGATTATTCTAATATATGAGTTAATTAATTTTGTTTCATTAAAAAATAATCATAAAAAAATATTGATTATATTATAATATGAATTATCATTACAATTTTCAATCAAATCAGAACCAATCAGATCAGATCAGATCAGAACCAATTAGATCAGATCAGATCAGATCCAATCAGATCAGATCCAATCGGAACAGATCAGATTCAATCAGATCAGATCAGATCAGAACTTATTAAAATCAGATCAGAAAAAATAAGTTGAACGGAATGGAGCCTAAGTCAATTTTCAAATCGTTACATACCTTACACAACAAGAACATTGTGATGGCAGTGGAGAAAATAGCCTTGACAAGGAGCCTATTCAGTTTGAGGCATCTTCGATTGAAAAAAAAAGAGAAAGAGAACTACCACAATTGAAACCTTCGTAATCATGCTAAAAATGATGTATTTTATGTTTTTGAAATTTTAAAAAAACTTTGTTAAGTACATTTTCAATTCTCTAAATATTATTTTATTCTATTTTGCTGTTGTTGTCTATTATATTAAAAATCATGTGAGAATTTTTTTTGTTGATTCCGAAAAAATATTACATTGAAAAGTTAGAATCGACAAATAAAGAGATTTGCTACCTGTGCCAATTTCAAATGCCAAAGGTTTTTAACCAGAATAATTGATTTCATCCGTAACTGATTTTTTATTTTTCGTACCGCAAACAATGGTAAATTGAAATCCGTACACGAAGCACGAATACACACCGCTATCGGAATTCCGCCGCCGGTGACCGCTTCTCGCAATCATCGTGTCAACCGCATCCCTTTCCTCCGCCGTCGTCTCCCTCCTCCATCTCTCCATCTTCGTCCTCAATCCTCTCCCGCCTGCTTCTTCCGCCGCCAGCACCATGCTGTCTCCGACTCCCCTTTCTCTCGTCTCCCCCAACCGCTGTCGATCCCTGGCTATCTCCGCCGCCACGATGGAAGCCGACGGCCCTACGTCGGAGCACACTTCCGAGCCGCCGTTCACCGTCGATCCGTTGCAAATGGATCCCGAGTTCTCAGGAAAGTCTTCGCAGTTCAGATCTGACATGTCCGCGCTCATGGATCGACGCCATTGAAGAACCTTCGCGCCGATCCTCTGTCTCTCGTCGTCGTCGTCTTCCCCGATCTCGTGTTCTAGAACGTTCCTTCGATCGAATTCTAGATCTTTCCTGTAATTCGATGACGTGGATGTGACGTCAGCTAGCGGCATGCCTCGGAATGACGCGCCATCGAGTAGAGCGACTTCGATGTTGAGCATTCCCTGAGGAGACCCCGAGGGGCGGCGGATCTGGAGAGCCACAGATCTCTTCCCATACGCTGGCGGCGTAGAGAATAGATTTTTGAGGTTCACGGCGACAGTCCCGACGAGGACGTCCCGGAACCACGAAACGGTGTAGATCTCGACGGAGACGGCGGACTGGTCGGATTCGAGGAACTCGCGGTCAACTTTGAAGGAGAAATTGCTGTTCCAGGTGGGGCTAGTGTGGCCGTGGTGGTCGACGGTGGTGGTGCGCTTCCGGTTGGGGTGGATCCAGATGAGGGCGTAGGCGCGGAGGGACTTGGAGATTGGAGCCAAATCCTGGGCGGAGATGAGGGTGATCTCCAGGACGTGGTGGC